ATATACATAAATAAATATTTTTTAAAAGTTTTGTATTTGAGCTAAAGAAATCAACATTTTGGTATTATTAAATTTCAAATAGTTGATGAATCCAATAATTTTTAGAGAAAACTAAATTTGCATAAACATATGCAAAAAAATATAATGAAATAATATTAAATTTACTGATAAAGAACGAGTTATAGGTAACCAACATGTCGCCAACAACTGTGTACTTATTTTGTGTATATATTTCACATGAATAAATTCTTAATTTTAAACAACAAAAATACTTAAAGTGAAAAAGATTAATTTATCATTTGATCAATTTTATATTAAAAATATAATGTTTCTGTTTGCTTTTGAAGCTATTATATCTTGGACCTATATATGGGCTATGGTTCACAATGGAGCTGACTATATATAAGTTCGCCCATTGTGAACCATAGCCCATATATTGGTCTTGCGCTTATGGGTCTAACATCTCTATTCTTTCTTTTGCATGTGTTTTTTAATAAGGTACTAGAAAATGACCCGGGCTATGCGCGGGTTTGTGTTATAGATATTTTTGCTATTTTAGTATCAATAAAATGGTATCATGAATTTTGTGGATCGAACAAAAATTTATATTTTTCATAAATCGATCAACAAAAAACCTCATACCTCGATTGGGTTACAGTCACTTTTACACAGTTGTCACCTCACCTCTGTATTTATACGATTATGTGTGACTTGTCTTTGTAAAGAAACTATCGTGTGATTAGGGTAGATTGTACATATGACTATATATGTATGTTATATTATATTCAAGAGTAATACAAAAAAAACGTAAGTGAGATCCAATTACCCACAAAAGTTAGACGATATATTATATATCAGGAGATGCTACACCTTAATTAAACAAATATAATATCTGCAAGTAAAAAAATAATAATTAGAGACTATGAAAATCAATAACGAATATGATAAAAAAAAATATTGCGAATAATTGGAGATGGAGGAGAAAATATTTATAAGAAATTATAGAACCACAAAAAAAAACTGAATAATAAACACACATTCGAATCACAACACAAAGGAACAGTAATGCATACCTATACAATGAATAATAAAGCTGTGAAAAAATGGTAGTCAAACACAAATGATTAGACAGCGAAGAG